TAGAGATACACACTAAAATATTTATGGGTGAAATAATATAATGTCTTGGATTTGCTCCAAAATAACATGAGAGGGGAAAAACTGGATGGGGGACATGGCTGAGGCAGGCTAGATCATTGGTTGATGGCTGTAAGGGTTGGGGGATGGGTACATAAAGGTTCACTATGCAGTTTGCTCTATTTTTTTTTTTTTTCCTTTTTGTCTTTTTTTCGTGACCAGCCACGGATCACAACCCTCAGTGTTGCGCCCGTACCGGACCGGGACCGGCAACGGGATCGCAACCCTCGGTGTTGCTCCCGCACCTTGCTCAGCCAGTGAGCGGCCGGTCTGTATGTGGGATCCGAACCCTCGGCGGGAGCGCTGCCGCACTTCCCAAGCGGCGCACTGTAGCAGTGTGCCACCGGGCCGGCCCACAGTTTGCTCTATTTTTGTGTTCAAGTTCTCTATAAAGAAAGTTTTTTTTTTTTTTTTTTTTTTAAATAACATGGTTGTTGGCACTCTCTGTAGTTTCTGCTCAATTTTGGTGTGAACCCAAAACTGCTCTAAAAAATAAAGTTTATTAAAAAAAGGTGCAGATTAAATAAAGAGTTTTCCTTGCTGTTGGTTCATAAGTATATTGAAAAGATAATTAAAATTTGTTTACTATAAAACCCTGTGCTTCTTTTTTTGTCAACATAAGTGCTCTCTATGAAAATATTAAACATTGTTATAAAACTTTTAACTATGGCTCTCTCTGACCATGACATATCAGGAGAATAGATTGGGGGACAAAGATTGAAGCAGAGACCAGTTAGTAGAGTAAATAGAAAAAAGAAACAAAAATATCCAGACAGAATATGACTCCCCTCCTATACGCTGTCTTCTGAACAAGTACATAAACACCAAAAATAACACGCTCATGGTAAAAATACTGACCACATGTACAGGGGTGAAATAAAGCTTCTCCCCACCTTTAGCCTCACGCTCAAGAGGTAACCACTGTTAATAGTTTCCTTCATAATATTTATGCATATTCAAATTAATATGTTCTTTCAAAAATGTCTAATTATAAGCATTTATAATTATATAAGCATTTCTTTTTTTTTTTTGTCTTTTTCCGTGTCCGGCAACGGATCGCAACCCTCAGTGTCGCCCCCGCACCGGACCGGGACCGGCAACAGGACCGCAACCCTCGGCGCTGCCCCCGCGCCTCGCTCAGCCAGTGAGCGGGAACCGGTCTGCATGTGGGATCCGAACCCTCAGGCGGGAGCGCCGCCGCGCTTCCCAAGCAGCGCACTATCCAGTGCGCCACCGGGCTGGCCCTATATAAGCATTTCTTTACTTTTTCTTAATTGATTAAAAAGTATCTTCTCCATAAAAAGATATCTTTTGTTTTTTACAACAGTAGAGTATTATAATGTTCTACACTTTTCTTTGAATAGTGTGTACACATCTGAACACATTTAATCATCAACAAATATTTATTAAGCTTCAATTATGTGTGTAAGAATATGGAAATATAGCAGTGAGCAAAGTAGCTGTGGCCCTTTTTCTAATGGAGCCAATATTCTGAATGAGTTAGGGGACCAAGAAAGGCATTCAATTTGAGCAAATATATGAAAAAGATATTTTTAGAAAGGAGCCAGGGCTATCAAGATGGTATAACAGGGTGATGGAATAACATTTAACCGGGAGGACAAATTTAGACTGGGTGATCAGAGATAGCCTCTGTGAAGAAGGGTCATTTTAGCTAAAACCCAAATAACAGCAAGGAGCCAGTCAAGTGAAGATCAGAGTGCACAGATCTGGGCAGGGACACAGTACAAAGGTCATACAAAGGTCCTAGGCCAGGTGGCTTGTTGTGTGGTTGGAGAGCAATGCTAAGGGACCTGGCCAGAGAAAACCATTATCAAGGCCATTTTGGTCTCTTGGTGAAGAGTGCAAATTTTATTTAGAATGCAGTAAGAAAAATAATGAAGTGTTTAAACAGAAGTGGAGTTCTGCTTGGTTTTGTTACATTTAGATGCTAATTATGCAACAGGCTGAACAGATGTGACTCCATTTTGTTAAACTTCTAAATTAAAAAGTTCTTTTTCTTACTCTTGCAACCTGAACTGCATAGCTTGCAGCTGGACATTAGAAGACAATGATTCTTGTTTACGTATTTGCTAGAACTTTTGCTCACACTATACACAGAATGATTATAGAAGAAATTATTAACCCAGGTGGCCATTCTTTACTAGCTTACTAGGTCTTTTTGAGGTTAACAGGAACTGAATTCGTGACTGGACTTCATGGAGTATGGCCACCATGAATCAGCTCCCACCCAAGAAGTTCTTAGATGTTTATCTGCAATTTTATGATTGTGCCTGCATGTCCCTGCTTAGATAACCATGAATGAGCCTCCCTATCATCTGTCCCTATAAAATTCTTTGGCAAGTCTGGGAAACTGGAGATGATCTTTGAGACATGAGTCCAGCATTTCCCAAGGCTGCTGACTTCTTGATTAAAGGCTGCCTTTCCTTACACCAACACTTGTCTCTCAATTATTGGCTGTTGAGCGGGGAGCAAACGGTCCTTTGGGGTTTTGGTAACAATTAGACATTCAGATGGGCACTTATGTGAACCTAGAGATAGAATATAAATTGCAGAATTACATATAGATCTACCTTGTTCTCTTTTAAAATCTTCATAGCCTTGTGCCTTATGGATATACCATCAGCCATATAATAAATAGCTCCATTCTCGGATAAACTGGGTGGATCCCAGATTTTAAAAAGAAAAAGTTATTATCTGCATTGCAAGCAATACACAATTAAAATTTCTATATAGTATCTTAATGCTACTTATACACTTGCACACTATAACTCCAGGTTCAGTTCTAAAAGTGGAATTGCTGAGTCTAAAGATATGTGCATTTTTACAATTTTTTTTGCACTTTACATTTTGATAAGGGCCAAAATCCTTAGAAATGTTTGCACATATCTATACTTTCAGCAACACTGATGCTTCCTTAAACTCAGGCTAACATTGGGTATTATCATGCTTTTTAATTTTGCCAATCTAATCATGGGAAAATGGTATGACATTATGATTTCAATTTATATTTCTTTACTTAGTAGTGGGGTTGACCTTCACTATCCATCAGCCATTTGCCTTTCTACTTCATACTCTCTTCGATTTGACTTTGGAGCTTGTATGTAGAACCCGTGTCCCTGAAGTCACCAGACTCAGGGGTCCAGCACTGCAGCATGGATAAGGTGTTGTTAGGGACCATGTACTTTTCATCCTGTGCCCTGCACTCCTGGCCAGGCCAGAGATAGCTCCTTGGCTGGGAAGGTGACAAGGGGGTTGGGTGGGGAGAAGGCACAGGTGTGGTGTGGGGGAAGACTGCTGAGGAGGTATGAGAGCATAGGAAAGAAGATCCTGATTCAACTGAATGCAATTTTTTTGTTTTTTTTTAAGAAAAACTTTAATTGCTATTACAAAAAATACCTGTATGAAGTATAAATTGGTTTCAATAACATTAAAAGAGAATACATTCTTGAAAGTGGAGGTAACTGGATGTAAAATTCTAGCAGCAATTTACTAGAACAGGCAAGTCGGGCTGAGGCCTACACCTCATGAGGACAAAACCCTTGTCTGTGGGGAATTTTGGACAATCCCTGGAGAAATATTACACTGTGCATAAACCAAACTGAATTGTTTTCACAAATGATGTACAGTTTCATAGAGTAAAAGGTTTTTTCTACATGCACTTCCATTTCACAGCAAGAGTGGCATAGAATATCTAAACACAGATGAGGGCATTTATACAAGATATCTAATTCCTTGATATAATACTGCATGCAATTAAAAATGGTTACACTCTCATTCCATTTCGGGCTTTCTGCAACTACCAGGCCCCCTCCACTACCAGCATCTAGAAAGCAGCCATCACCTTCTCTGGGTATTCTCTTTCTGCTGTTTTACTTCATTTTAATCATCTCTGCTGTTGTTGCTGCTTCTTAGCAGAACTGGTGGAAACAACTTTGTAATCACTGAGGCATCACCGGGAAAAGCCCCGAATTCCCGCAGGGAAATCCTCCCGGCCTCTCCCCACTGTGCCTTCAAAAGTTGCAAAACTACTACTCAGGGCGTCTGGACTGGCGCTGGCCGCAGCTCTCAAGAGTCCGAGCTCCCACCCAGAGGCCACAAGGCACAGCCGGGGGTGGAAGGGCCGCCCATTTGTCGTATTGTCTGCAAGGGAGCGGCAACAAAAAACCGAAACCAAAACCTGCCTGCCCGACCCCTCCCCGCCATCTGAGCTCCGCTAAGGCAGGGGATCCCGCGGGCCGCAGAGGGCGCGTCTCTCCTCCGCCATGGCGAGTTGCTTTTGCTTTGGGTTTTGCTGTGCAGGGGCCTGCCCGTGCCATCGCCACGGTCCCTCAGAAGGGCGCGGGAGCGTGCGGGGCTGCCCGCGGAGGGCCCCGCGAGCGAAGGCGGGTCTGCCCCTGTGCACCTGCCCCTGTCGCCAGCCTGCGCGCTCCTGAAATGCAGTCCCCGCCGTGCGACAGAGGCGCAGTCCCGAGGGGACGGGGCGCGGACTGCCGACTCCCACACCCACTGCCCGGGGGGGTGGGGGTCAGGGTCACCTCTGTTTCGTGGAGGAGTCACATCGCAGACTGTATTAGGGCTTAACTTTGACCTCCCACGCGTTAGGGGAACAGAAGTGGATAGATGACCCAGAAATGGAGGCCACAGCTTCCTTTTGCAAAGGGTTAATAGGAAAGGATTCTAGCCAAGGACACAAGTTAGGAGGGCATCCTGATGTCTTCTGTCTGTTTTAGGATGAATTCTGCTCTTTGGTGGTCTCGGTTCTTTCTCTAGAGACACACAGCGCTGTGTGTTTTCACCGTCTGTGCTGGCTATGAAGAAAGTTAGCAAATCCAAGATTTAGTATCACTCCCGCCCCTTAGTCGAAGGCTCGAAAGCCTTGGCCTGGCCCTAAATTCCTGGTCTGAAGTGCTAGACTCCGGGAAATGCAAAAGCAGGTGTCAGACGCAAGTGAGCTTTTGTTAACTTGGAGACAGTGAAGGCATTATCAATGAAAATAAACAACTGATTTTGAGAACAGAAATATAAACAGATGCAGTAAATGAATTTTCTAATTACTTTTCCCTAGTGTCTTACAAAAATTACACTTTTGTTAACTTGGAGACAGTGAAGGCATTATCAATGAAAATAAACAACTGATTTTGAGAAAAGAAATATAAACAGATGCAGTAAATGAATTTTCTAATTACTTTTCCCTAGTGTCTTACAAAAATTACATAACTACAAACTGGACTACCAAAGAGATGCTGAGAGTGCAGATCCTGGGTGCAATCATCACTGACTTCAGTCATTTTCTATTGAATTCCTACTATGATAAATGAGGATTCCACTTAAGTAACCTCTGACTTCTTCCTCTTTCTTCCAAGTTTGAAAGTTGTAATTGTTTAAAAAATTCTTCTATGGGTGATTTTTGTAACTTCTCTAACATACTTAAAATTTTGGTATTATTATATGATTCTCTGTAATGTAAGAGGAAATATTCGCCCATCTATTTTTTTCCTCAGTTTCTGTTAGCTCTGCCTTCATTCTTACATTGAAAGAATAGAATATTTCCATTTTATTCAGTAATAATATTTAAGTCTTCAATATTTTGAAGACTTAGCAGGTTTAGTCCAAAAGTTAAAAACTAATAATGGTGTTTACATTATTATGGAAACAGTAAATGCTGTTTACAGCAGGGCCTACTAGTGTGCTATGATTACTTCTTATCCTTTTGGTTCAATGTCATGTGTATTTTTCCTTTTCTACTTATAGGAAAATCTTCCTAGTAGCTGAGTCAAATGAATTTTCTTTTCTTTCTTTTTTTTTTTCATCCTATGATTTACTTAAATTCATGACATGCTCTAGTTTGCTTTATGATCTTTAGGCTGGGACCCCTTCAAATGCCAGAAACAGGGGGAGGACTTGCTCTGGGGTGCCCCTACTATCAAGTCAAGTTCTCTCTAGAGTTCAGGCTTTTCTTTTAGGTAAAATGATCCCTGAGTTTTCTCCTTGAGGTCTGGCTCAGCTGCCTTCAGTGTGGTGTGTGATGTGTGTGCTCAAGCTGGTGTGCATAAGCACTGGGGGTAGAGAATATGGGGAGACAACTGGAACAGTCCTTCTTACCAACAGCTTTTCAGCAAACCCTTGTTTTGGGTCCCTTTTTTCATTTCCAGGGTTTGGCGATGCAGGTCATCACCTTTCTACTCCAACCCCCTTTTGCTTATTCTGGGTTAGCTCCTTCCCTCTGTCTTCATATACTGCTATGTATTTTCAGTCCTCCAGAAATTTGTTGAAATCTCTTATGCTAATTGCTCTCCTTGACTGGGTTTATTCTTTTTTCATTATTTTACTTTCGTTTTAAGGGTACAGGACATGGTGTGTGGTCAGATTATTATTTTTTCTTTCTTTCGTTTTCTTTTTTTAGACTGTCTTCTTGACAGAAGAAATAGTAATTTGTCTATCCCCACTGGAGTCCTACACTGAATACAGAGGCCTCTGGACTGAGAGCCCAAAATTCCTTTCTGGTTTATTAACCATCACTTGGACCCATGAGACTGCTGACCTCCCTGGGTAATTTAGGATGGATTATGTCTGAGCACTGGTGTAATCAGGCTGGACTAACTGTGTTAGCATTGGGAGAAGCATAAAAGTCTGCTTTCCTAAATGGGGGCTGGGAGACACATTAAAGCATTTGAATATAAGCCCCTTAACTGGATAATGTAAGGAGTTCAAAGAGAGGAACCCAAGAAAGGACCTACTTGCAGTTGGTACTCTGTGCCCAGCATGGTGACAGTCCATGGTAGCATGTACTTGCTGTGGTTGTATTTCATCTCAGACATGTTATATGTGCTGAAAGGCAGGATTTACTCCAGTGCAGCCCCCATGTTACTGCTAGTTTTTTATGTTCTTACTTTTTCCTGATTCTGACAAAAGTAGGGATGTCTTTCTTATTGGCTTATGTACTTTGGATGCTACAGTCAAGAAAAACAGCTACCTCTAAACTACCATATTTTGTGGTTAGTTTGACTTTTTATTTTATTTATTTTAATTTTTTTTTCCCTTTTTGTCTTTTTTACTGACCGGTAACGGGATCACAACCTTCAGTGTCGTGCCCGTACCGGGGACCGGCAACGGGATCGCAACCCTCGGTGTTGCGCCCGCTCCGCACTCAGCCAGTGAGCGGGAACCGGTCTCCACATGGGATCCGAACCCTCGGCTGGAGCGCCGCTGCGCTCCCAAGCGGCGCACTCTCCAGTGCGCCACCAGGCCGGCCCTAGTTTGACTTTTTAAAAAACTTTTAATTTTTAAAATGTTTATTTCTTGATCTTTGTCATTTCTTTCATTATTTTTAGGCCTTCCTAAAATCACGCAAATATTATCCAATATTTTCCACTTATAGAAAACAAAAGGTTCACTTTTTATACCTAACTCTCAAATTCATATAGAGTTTATGTTGATATATGGTGTGAAGCAAGGATCTACCTCTCCCTGCCCTTAAAATGATCTAACCAGCTGCACTAGCATCTTTATTGATTAAAATATTGTCTCACACTGGAGTATAATGTCACCTTTATTAAGTAGAAGCTTACATTTTTAAAGAGTATCCTACTGTTTCTCTTACAGGCATCAATTTTGAATGTCGAGGAATCAAAAGCTTCTGAAAGAACAGTTGTAGTTGCTGTTGGCTCCCAGTTGGCCTTTTCAGTGATCAAGTATTGGCCATATTAGTGAAGAGTCACTTCCAAGATACTAAGAACAAGGGTGGAGATGTTGAAGATGTGGTATATCCAACAAGAACCAAGGGAGTCGCATATGTAATATTCAAAGAAAAAAAAGGTATTTCCAAATAAAATTTTTGTAATCTTAGAATATTTCTTCAATGAAATTGAAAATTGCATTTTATTAAAATGATTCATGAGATTGGTAAAATTTAAAGTAGCTTTTCAAAAATCATTTTATTCTGAATGTAAAAGTGGTACAGTATTGCATTAGCAAGAATATATGGGAAAATGTCTCATGATAAAATTGCTAGTGATTAGCAGATTCTTGAAGACATCTTTTTTTTCTGTATTTTGAATCTATGTCTATCTTGGGATAAAAGTGATACATTGTATTGTAGAAAACTTGTAAAATACAGAAAAAAATGAATGAAAACCCCATTCAAATTATATATAATCTTATAAACAAGATAACTGCTTTGGGAATTTTCAGGTGTCTTCAACTATATAATTATACCCTCTGCTTCTTTTTGTTCAAGCCAACAAAGGGGTATTCTAATGTAGTATCTGTTTTATTACTGGTGAAGTTGAATTAAGAAATGCAGCTTGAATCTGAGATCAGATGAGCTATTCTGTTCCCTCTCACAATCCCTGACATAAATGAGGAGATTGGGTCTGCAGAGCACACTCACCTCGTGGGATAGCCTTCTTACAGCATGGTGGCTGGATGAATAAATTGCCAGAGAAACACAAGTCTCCATGCCACCCTCTTAGAGGTGAAAGTATCAGTGGGAGTAGGAGCAGAGGAAGACACCTTTCTCCTCTTGATTGAAGACAGGGTCCAGAGAGAGATCCAAGAGACAATGGATTATCTGTACCTTTATCTGTCACCATTAGTTAAGTCATTCCTTCTCAATGGGGAAGTTCAGATAAGGGATGGCTAGAAGGGCTCCTTATTATTTTTCTAAGGGAGTGGTAGTGTTTTCAGAAGTTAATATTTTATATGTTGAATTGGTAACTCAGAGAGAGAAGGAGAGGCCTCATTCATTCATTCATTCGCAAATATTTATTGAATGCTGATTATTTGCCAGGCACCATTCTAGACCTTGAGGATACAGCAATGAATGAAATAGGCAAAATCTTTTCTTTCATGAGGCGTACATCTGTGGGGGTGGACAGATAATAAACAAACAAATGAATATATAATGTGTCAGGTGCTTTATTTATATATAATTTATATGTTTATTTATATATTTATTAAAATATAATGTGAGTGCTATGAAAAATATATAGACAAATAAAGTGATAGACTGTGATGGATGATTTTTTTTAGATAAGGTGGGTAGGAAAATACTCTTTTTAGATGACATTTGAGTTAAGAGGGAAGAACATTCCAGGCCAAGGGAAGGACTGGTAAGAATTCCATGAGGGGGAAACATGGTGGGTGTTTGGAAGAACAGCAAGGAGTCCTGCATGGCTGGACTGGGATAGGCAGGGAGAGTAAGAGGAGATGTGGTTAGATGGGAGCAGAGACCAGTTTATGCTCAGTAACGTATGGGTCAAGGCAAGATGTCTGCATTTTATTCTGGGTGAGATGGGAAGCTATTGGAGGGCTGTGAGCAGGGGATGGGGATAGGCAGGGAGAGTAAGAGGAGATGTGGTTAGATGGGAGCAGAGACCAGTTTATGCTCAGTAACGTATGGGTCAAGGCAAGATGTCTGCATTTTATTCTGGGTGAGATGGGAAGCTATTGGAGGGCTGTGAGCAGGGGATGGACAAGATGGGACTGCCTTTCTTAGACAACCCATCTGGCAGCTGTGTGGAGAATAGGAGCTAATTGTCATTGCTGGCTTTGGCTGGGGTGGTAGCCAGGCAGGTGATGAGAACTGGTGTGTGTCTGGGATTTGTTGATGGATTAGATGTCATTTCCTGAGATGGGGAAGACTGAAGATAGAGTTTGTTCGGGAGGGGGATAGTTATCAACAGTTGAATTTTGGTCAATGAGATGCCTATTAAGATAATGAAGCAGAGATTTCTACAGGCAGAAGGGAGAAAGGTCGAGGCTGAAGATAGATTTTTGAAAGGGATACATGTAGAGATGGTGTTTAAAGCCAAGGAAATTGTTGAGATCACCCAGGGAGTAGGGGTAGTTTAGCAAAGAAGTATGAGGCCTGAGGTCTGGGCATGCCAACACCTAGAGAATGGGAAGAGAAGAAGGGATAAGAAAAGAGATCAGCCAGTGAACTAGGAGGCAAACCAGGACAATGTGGTGTCCTGGATTCAACACACGAAGTCTCCTTATGATCATGGTTAACAAAGTGGGGGATTTGCTTTTAGGTTTTTCTTTAAGGATTTTGTTTTTTATTCATGTGCATGCCTATGTGTGTTTTAAAAAATATGATTAGGGTCATATTTACACATAAAATGAACTTTAATATGTTGAAGTGCAAGGGAAAAGCTATTTGAATATTGAATTTAAAGGAAAAGTGTAGGAAAAACAGACATTTTAAGTAATAGAGTTGAACATTTGTATTATTATTAATTAAAATAATTATTAATGTATTGTACCCCAAACACTTCTGATGCTAGTGTTTCCACTTAGTTGCAGAGAATGTTATCGGAGAAAAGAAACACCATCTAGTAAAGAAGGCTGGAGGTATTCCACTCACAGTCTCTCATTTTAGTGAGAAGGTAAGGTGCTAATTCAGAATACAGAATGAATGGGTCCTGGATCTCATTTCTTTGTGAAGTCTTTCCTATGTATGGAGACACAAAGTGCTCTCACCCCATGACTTCTAGGAAAGAAAATGCAAACTCCTTAATCTGAGTCAGTGTTAAAAGGCCAAACCTGTCTCTTGAGATTTGGGTTATTGCCTCGTCTGTTTTTATATTTCTTTTTGTCCTACTTGATTCTTTTAAAGTAACAGTGAGCTGTTATGCTGTCGTGGATGATGTCAAGTACCTACCTAAGAGACAGAAAAGGTGGGAATAAGAGGAAAAAGTTACAAAGCACTGGCCCACAAACTTTATTCTGTAAGAAACCCAGGGTTCTCTGCAGCCATCTGATGAACTTCAAACGGGGGGTGTTCGGGGGAGGTGACTCTAGGGGGACCCCTATCCATAGAGCAGAACAAGAACAGTTATGTCTATGGGTTCTGCATAAAATTTTGTTTCAAAAAAGCATTCTGCCTCTAGAAATGATTTGACCATCTTTGTTTTGGGATATACAGTGAGGGACTGGGAGTCCTAAATTGAAGGACTTGGGATCTATTAATGAGCTGATCAGGAGCAGGAAGCCAGGAAGTCTGGGTGAGGCAAGTGGGGCCTGGTTTAGAGCAACTGCTGCAGAAACAAGAAAGGGGCAGAGAAAGAATGTTTATGTTGTCTGCTCCTCTAGGCAGTGCTATTTTAATTTCTCTCTTTTTATTTTAGATCTTCAGCTCTGTAAATGCTATCCTCGATCTTTCTGTTTTTCTTACTCAAGTTACCCTAGAAAGTCTGGTAATGGACCTAAAAAAGAAAATACCAACTTTAAGCTTCAGTCCTTTGGAACTCAATGGAAGAATCTCCGTGGGAGGATCGTTTCTGGCTATCAAGAGGCTCAAAGAATCTTTGCTATTAAAAGCAAGTTCTCTTTTTGAAAAGAACAGGAATTTTACCAATGAGGGGAGAAAGTGCAATAGACAAAGCACCCAAAAAAGTCTACAGAGAAGTAATAAGTCTTTGGAGTCACTCAGGACCTTAGTACCTGAGACTGCTAGAACTGGAGAGACGCTTGTTCTTGACACAGATATTTTCCTTTATTTGAAACAGAAGTGTGAGTTTTATGAAAGCACACTGAAAAAATATCATATTCTAAGTCAGGAGAGAATGGATGGTGAAATCACCACAGTTTGTCTGAAAAATGCTGAAGTTGGTTCTCAGCTAAACAATGCAAAACACGTGAAAGAGCTCATTGAGAAATGGTCACATGCTCTTCACTTTGGGCTTAGAAAAGAGACATTTACTTTGGTAGGAAAGGAAAATAGAAAGAAAAGAAATATTGAACGGGCATGTGAACAACTACGTCCAAAATACCTGAGGGTTCTGATTAACTTTTATAGGACACGCATTGACATTATAGGATCTTCTTCTGACACTTACTATTTTAAAAAAGAGGTCAGGAAATTAATAGGACAAAAGGTTAGTTAATTACAATCATAGCAATAATAATGGCTGCTTTCCCTTACTGAGCAGTGGCTATGCCATGCATGAGGCTAACTTTATACAGTTTATATCACTTAATCCTCATGACTATTCTTGTGTTATAGGGGAAAACACTAGCATTTGGAGAAGTCAAAACACTTCTTCAAAGTTATCCTGCTTACGAGGAATGGGGCTGGACCTTAAACCCCAGTCTATCTGATCACAAAGATAATACCTAAGGTATGCAATTTTAGAAAAAAATTCACTAAGCTTTGAAGAAATCCCACTTTCTCTGCAACTCCAAATTATCAGAAAAAAAAAAGTAGCTGTAATTCTAACATGTGAGAAGTTCAGATGATTATTACTATGCCATTGGCAATTTCTTAACATTTACAGTTTGTGTTTATTCCTCATAGAGTTAGAATGCTGATAAAAATAACTTAGAAAACTGCTTAGATAGAAAGTATTTCTGACTCAGGTAATTATTACTTTACTGAATTCCATTGTTACAAGGCTGCTGAACTTATGGAACATTTTTACTACTACTTATGAATATTTAGTGTAAGTGCCTACATAAAATATTGGTTCTCCTGTTATAATTATGGAGGATTCTGAAAGAAATTTATAAGATTGCTATTATTCTTATCATCCTTGACCTTATTTCCTCAAATGCTGCTACTTTAACATTACAATTATAAAATAAAGGGGGGAAAAAGAAAAAAGACCAAAGTCTATGACTCTCTTGAATTTAACTTCAGATTAAACCAATTTTAAGTATCTGAAGCACTGCAGAAACTCTCCCAGTTTAAAAGATAATAAAATACATGTATTTTGTTAATCCCAAAGTAAACAAACATGATTATGATTATTTGAACTATTTGTGTCAGTAAAAAAGCATAATAAAAATCTATATGCTTTCGTTTTTCTTAGCAATCTAAATCCCAAATGTGTAAATAATTTTCATTTCCTTAGTATATTTCTGACACCAAAAGCAGGACAACAAAAGCAAAAATAGACAAATGGGACTATACTAAACTTAAAAACTTTGTGCATTAAAATTTATGTCCTTTCAAATGCCAAATATATTCATTCCATCCCAACAGCCCTAAAAGTCTTAACTCATTCTAGCATCAACTGTAATAAAGTCTAAAGTCCAAAATCTTATCTAAATATCATCTAAATCAGATATAGGTGAGACAGGTACAATTCATACTGTGGCAAAATTCCTCTGGAGTTATGAACCTGAAAAGCCAAACAAGTTTTATGTGCTTCCAAAACACAATAGTGGGACAGGAATAGGATGGATATTCCCTTTCCAAAAGGGAGATATAGGAGAGATATGAGGGCTGACAAGTCACAAACCAGTTCAAAACCAAGCAATGCAGACTGCATGAGATCTTAAGGCTTGAGAATATTCTTTGGCTCAGTGCTCTGTTCTCCAGGCCCAGTGGGATGGCCACTGGGAAACCGGACCTTATCGGACAGCAAATCTGCTGGAGACTTGATCTTGGACTTCCCAGCCTGCAGAACTGTGAGAAAGAAATTTCTGTTGTTTTTTAAGCCACCCAGTCTATGGTACTCCATTATAGCAGCTTGAACAGACTGAGACAGGCAGAGGATGGAGTGATGCTGCTACAAACCAAGGAACATCAAGAATTGCCGGGAGCCAACAGGAGCTGAGAGAGGCAAGGCAGAAGTCTTCTCTTTAGACAGAGCAGGTCCCTGCTGACATCTTGATTTTAAACTTCTAGCTTCTAGGACTATGAGAGAATGCATTCCTGTTGTTTTAAGCCGCCAAGTTTGTGGTAATTTGTTATGGCAGCCCTTGGAAACTAATAGAGCTGGCTTGCTTTCAAAAAAAATCTTAGGAACCTCTGATTGCTGCAGTCCATTTCAGGTGTGGACCCTTGTGGTGTATTCCCATACTGCCCTCTCCTTGAGGGCAGGAACTTTTTCTATTTATTCATCCCCAGTTCATAACAGAGCACTTGGCATATGGTAGGCATTCTACAAATACTAACGAAACATATGAACAATTTTTGTGCTTCTTACAGAGTTTAGTACAAGGTTTTATACTTAATAAGCATCTAATAAATGTGTATTCATTGGTCCAGGAATTTCTGTCTTTTCGTGCTATATAGTTTTCCCCTTTGCCAATATCATAATACTCTGCTAACATTAATTTATCACTCCCTCGTTAGAATGTGTCCGCATTTCCTACTTGTATTATCTCCTCCAATACAGGAAATTTTCTCTGGCAAGACAAACTCAAGTAATAAGATATTTTTCTTTTATATTCTTGTCGAGCAGGTCAGCCAGTAACTGCTCCTGACAAAAGGCGCAAGACATGTTTCCTGACTGTGCCTGGAATGGTTCTCTCCATTTGCCTATCTCTTGACTAGGTTTCACCAGTGAGCTGAAAATCCCTTGTGACTGAATTTGGTAGTTATGAGGATTCACTGGTCTGTCTACTCTGGTGTCTGGTTATTGTCAGCTGTTGGAGGTCACTCAGAAATTAACATCTGTAAGCAGTCTCTCCATTGCTAACCAAAGTAAATGACCACTTGTTGAGATTTAGCAAAAAGTTTCTTTGAGAGCTCATAGGACTGAAGACTGGGGGAGATTCAAGAGGCTTTGAAAATGTGCTCCAGGGAAAAAAGTTTCAATCCAAAAAGGTTCTCTCTGTCGCCTTCCTCAGGTGCCCCGGGGTCTCCGCGTGCTCACTCCCCTCCTCCTCGTGGGCCCCAGCCCGCCCTGAACCCGCGTGCACAGGAGCACAGGGCCCCGCACACTCGCGGGACATGCGCCCTGCCTGGACGGGCCAGGGCGGAAGCCCCCGGTGCGCCCCCCTCCCGGCGCCAGCCACGCTCCCCTCCCCGTCGCCAGTGTCCCCAGGGCGCAGGGCTGTGCGCTCAGCTCCGGATGCACTGGGAGTCCATGGGGACTGACCCGCCCTGCCAGAGCACGACTGTGGAGGAGCTGCAGCACGACTGTTCTACACCGTCCCCACCACTGCCAGCTCCTTCGCTGAACACTTCTCCACCAGCAGCGGCAGCTTCGCCTCTAACAGGAAGTTCCTCCGCACCCTACCCGGGTTCCTCACAGTGGCGGAGTCACGTGCAGGCAAGCAATGGAGCCAGATGAGACGCCCGGGGTCCTGAGATAGGAGCCGAGGGCCACCACGGCCCCACCCACAACCAGATCTCAGAATAGACTGATTAGCCACGTGTGTCTCTTTGGGGTGTGAGATTGTTACCCACAGACCAGGCTCGGTTTGCCCTCTGGCATTAGACAAATGACTCGAAAGTCCAGACGTTAGCACAAGGATTAGAAGGTTTATTCAGATAACCAGCATCTGGGAGATGACCAGGCTAAAATCATCCCGCTTTCTGATGCCTCTTCTGGGGTATGCAAAGGGGAAGAGGCAGGAAGATGAGGTGGGGTCTTTGTTCCAAGAAAAACTGGAGGAAGGGACTGGGAGCAGCACATGGTCTGAGTCAAATGTTAAGGCCCAGTGATGGATTGGAATCTTCAGCATCACAGAGTCTGGTCAGCTTCAAGTCCTCCATGTCATCTCCAGGTTGGAGTCCTTATCTCCTAGGGAGAGCTCAAGGATAACAACCTTAGTCAGACATCATAAAAATACCTGACTTGGCATGAATGCAGTTTTCCTTTAAGTAAGAGGGGGAGTTTACAATCAGCTAGGTTGTCTTGCCTCTCTCTTATCTCTCCTTTTGGTAAGAAAAACAAGAAACCCAGTTTCAGTCCTTAATTGCAGGTAAAGTAAATCAACATAGTGATTTCATCTTCCTGCAGTCTCTCAATTCTTTTGCTAACCTCAAGGAATTGATAATGATCAGTTTCCAAGTTAAAGTCTGGCTAAAAATGTTCTGCTTGGTCTTAGTTACCCCAAAGATGGTTGTTTTTTTTCTGGCTACGGTCCCTTTCAAGACTTATCTGCTTATGTCCGTCACCAAATTTCTGCTTAGATTTTTTCTAATTCATTTTTAAGAGCTCTTTTCGCTATAAAAAAAAAGAATTAAAAAAAAAGAATAAATATATAAAAACCACTCTTAGCTAGCGGGCCATACAACAACAGGTGCAGAGCTGAACGTGGCCCGAGGGCCACGGGTTATTCAGTACGGTAGCCACTGCCATTGTCAGCAAGCTCGTTCTCATAAGGCTGGCCACAGGCACACACAGAATCTGTGGAAACTAGATACTTTGGTGGCAAAGTTAATGTTCCCCACAAAAGTGGATCTGTGTGATGGGTTTCCCTCTGGGCTGGGGGGAAGGCTGCTCCTGTGCCTAAGTAAACCCAGCCTGGATTTTCCTCAGGAAGCTTTTCAGTCCCCTTGAGGGATTGACGCCATTTTCCGTGTGAAGAAATAACAAAAATATTCTCAGCTTTGGGCACCTTGCTGTAGAGTGTGCTCCAGGTGACCGTGTCTGGTGGAATGGTCAAATAGACTTGGGCTCAAACCCTGCCTTATTTTGGGATAATTAATATCCATTAATTTCCTTTTTTCTGCCTAAAGTTGTTATACTGACCCACTACATGACAAGGTTGCTTTGAGGACTAAAACGAAACACTATATTAAGGTAACTGGCACTTAACCATCATTTTTATTGGGCACTTTCTATATTGTTTGAATTTAAACGAGGTAAAAATCATCTCCATTCATTCAGACACACACACACAGAGTCACACAGTTCTCTCAATTTAAAGTTTTTCTTTTTTATTGGAATAGCATGATACGGTCATAAACTAAATTTTCTTTTCAAAGTTTTACTTAAAACCCTCAGATGCTTTGTTCCTAAACAGGCTGGGGACCAATAGGATGTTGCCCTTACTCTTAAAATCGTGAAACGCTTCAGCTGTTAATATGATTAAACTATTACTAGGTGAATTGTTTTTGTAGAGTTTAAATGAATTTCAGTATAGATTGATTGGGCCAAGACTACTGGTAAAGTCTTATATTTTATCTTTATGTGTGGTAAGAATTACAAGGAGGCTCTGATCAGAATAAAGTTAAATAAAGTTAAATTAAAACATTAGAGTTAGGGAAATAAATCTTTAGTGGCATATAAATGCCTTTTGAAGTTGATTAGATTGATAGAGTTGGAATAAATATTTTAGAAAATTATCCTTTGAATTAAAATGCACATTATTATACAGACTCCCACAACCAAAAGGATGGCAGAAGAGATGTTGATTCAGACTGGTTGTTAGTGAAAGAGATTTGAACATTTTCTGGAGGCTCTTGGTAGGATTATAGAGAAAACCACCAGAGAATCTGAAAGTATGTGCACTCTCAAGACAATTGACCCTCACAAAGTAGTATTTCACGCTTAAAGTTGGGCAAGAAGGGGATGGTTTGTTTGTGGCTTTTTAAAAAAATATATAGGGGAAAGCAGCAGCACCAGATCCAACATGGTGGCCAGCAGGAGGCGTATAAAGGAGCTTGAAGAAATCTGCAAATTTCAAACCAAAAACTTCCGTAACAACCAGGTTAATGAATTGATTTGGCGAGGGCTTATTGTTCCTGACAACCCTCCATAAGATAAGGGGGCTGTTGAGCTGGATCGCAGATCCCTCTACCCACTTCTGTGCAGGTCCTGAACCAGGTAAATTAAAGAAAAACCGAGTAGCCTCTGGAAAAGTGAACATGCTTTATTCTAGACACGAGCTCCGCCGGCCAGCGGTTCAGAGCCGCTGCCTTCTATACTGAAAGTACACAACACTGGCAACAAGCCAAGGGGTACATGGATGCACAAGTGCACTAATGCTACTGTAAAGCTACACAACCACGCCAGTTGTTGGGCTCTTTTACCTGCTGGTAATCCTGCCCTGATTGGGCCAATTGCCAAGCTAGGGCTGGGTCTGGAGCTCACAGACCCCTCAAGCCTGTTCCAGACTGGGTCACAAACCCTTCATATGCCAGGCTGGCCACCAGACCCCCCACA